AGAAAGGCCACATACAGCTTTTTCCCTTTCTCTAGTGTCTTCTCCTGTAACTGTCTCACCACAAAAATGGCATCTGTTGTGCTTTTCCCCGCTGAGAATCCAAATTGTGAGTTGTGGATCCTGACTATCTTCCTGAGTCTCTTGTCCAGAATTTTTTCCAGGATTTTCAATCCATGTTCCAGAAGTTTTATTCCTCTATAGTTTTTACACTCCATTGGGTCTCCTTTCTCCTTGTAGATGGTAACCACACTGCTTTTTGTCCATTCTTCTGGAATTCTCTCTTCCATGGTTGCAAAGTAAATGGAATTGAAACTGTTTAATTAAAATTCATGACTGGGAAAACACCTGTTAGATTATGTTTAAAGCAGACATTAAAACATTGTGGAGAATATTACATGCAGGTAGGAAAAACAAATGATAAAATGGGGAAAGGCTGAGTTAGAAGAGGCTTCTTCTGAAAAAAGTCTTCTATGGACTTTTGGAAGAAGGTTGACAAGAGCTTTGAGAAGTTACCTTTAAAGTCACTATATAAAATATGATGATGATGATTATTGTTGTTGTTAGATGAAGCAATAGAAAAGGCAAACAAAATGTTATATTCTCGGTATTACTCACTAGATCATTTTACTCTTCAGTCTCTGTTTTCATTAATCATCAGGCACAGAAGTATTCAACCCAATTAACTCTGTACCACCCAATTCATAGTCTTCACTTCACTTAACACTTTAACAAACCAGGTTGTGGTAAATAGATGCTTAGATACTGTAGATGCAGCTGTCATCAAATTGCAATATTCAGTAATCACTAAGTCACACAGTAATCACCGAGTCTTCACTAACAACTGGTAGCTTTTCTCATCTTTCACAAATCTTCCAGCCGGGAATACGGCTCTGTAAGTGATAGTATCCCTGACACAGAAGCAGCCGGTTTGTTTTTCTCCCTCATTTCTCACTATCTGAGTCAGCATGTTTGTGTTGTTGGTAAGTACAGGGAGTACTCAGGAGCTCAACAGTTCTGGGATACTCCCAATATATACCCACACATTTACTTGTCTGTACATTAAATGAAACTCCACACAATAGACCTGAAACAAACAGTTTTTGACCTTTTTAATGAAGATGCCATTTAGTTTCCAAAAGGGCTATTTGCATTATAGGAATGTCCCAATATGTTCTGGTTCTCAGGAGCTGCTCTATTATTTGGCAGCATTTTCTTAGATTTTGCTCTTTAATAGATAGAACTGCACACAAAACAACCTGTGAGTTCAGCCTGTGCCTAGTGGACTCTCTCACTCTCAGCTGTAGGGCAAAGGAACGTTGCTTTGCCACATTGACAAGTGATGTCCCCAGACAGGAGCCAATAAGCACACAGAACCTAGATTTGGATTTGCACTCCAAATGAAGACTTTAAACTTTGAAACCCACATGGCTTATTAAATCAATATTTTCAGTTTACATTAGGCTGCAATACTTCAAAACA